TTTAAAAGCAATCTAAATGTCCATTGGTGGATGAAAGGATAGATGTGATCTATCCGTACAACAGAATATAGTCAGCTTTAAAAACAAAGACAATTCTAATATATACTCCAACTCAGATGAACCTTAAAGGCATAATGCTAAGTCAAATAAGGCACATACAAAAGACAAATATTGTGTCACTCCACTTATCTGAGGTATCTTATCTGAGGGACAGAAAGTAGAATGGTGGTTGTCAGCAACTTGAGGGACAGGAAAGTGGAGAATTATGTAACGGCTACAGAGTTCCAGATGTACATGATAAAAAAAAGTTCTAGAGATGTTTCACAATAATTTACATCTATTTTACACTTTTGAATGGTGTGCTTAAAAATGGTTAAGATGACTAATTTTCTGTTGTTTATTTTCACTCAGTTTCAAAGGTTCAGTCCATGGTAGGCTGACTCCATTAGTTCTGGGCTTGGGGTGAGGCAGAATATCATGGTGGAGGAAAACAGCTCAGGACACGGCAACAACCTTGTTGTTTTTCCTTCCACCATGATATTCTGCCTCACCATAGGCCCAGAGATAATGGAGTCAGCCCACCAGGGACTGAACCTTTGAAACCATGAGCCAAAATAAATTTTTCCTCCTCTACATTGTTCTTGTCAGGTCTTTTGGTCACAGTGACCAGAAAAAAAATGACTGAAACAACATATGACTAACCAGGACATAGAAAGGGATGAGCCTAATATTTCAAGTGGAAGCCAATGGCTTATTTTGGTTGTTCTGCAGGCAAATAAAATGTAAGCTAAAGTCTGCTGGGAAGAGTGTAATTATGGCATAGAATTATTAACCTTAGCTTTAAGAATCAGTGTCTGTAGCATGCTGGGCCAAAATTAGTTCTGGTTCCAGATCTCTTACTGACCAGCTAATATATTTGGGGCCTCTACTTTTATTTCTTTCTCCATCCTCTCTAAACAGAGTTAGGACTACATAATTCTGTCTAAGTCAACAGATTTTTTGGTTATCCTTGCTACTGAGAAAGCAACAACAAATTTATCTCCTTTTGTAATGTTTTTAAGTGCCTGGAAACAATGCACTATATAACAGGGGGTAGATCTCATTTTTCTACTTTGGATAAACATAGAATAAAGAATTTTATACAAATCTAGAAATGAAGATGGTGATATTGAACAGTGAAAATAAACAAAGAGACAAAAGGAGACTGATGGCTATTGAAGAGGTGATGAACCTACACTGCCTCTTAGGGAAACTGTCCCTTCACCCAAGCAATGTTTTGGCAAGCTCAGAGGAGGAGACACAGATGCCAGCCATAGGTTCTGGAGCAAGCACAGAGACCCTCTGATGTGGGGTGGATTCAGTCACTTTCATCTATTCTCCCCCACATTTATTTCTAGGGCCCAAAGAGCATTTTCCTCTCTCACTCAGTTTAACTTACTTATTCCAATAAATGCAACATACATTCAGTTTCCCCTCCAGGTGCTAAGCAATTCAGAGGTAACTTTTGCTGGAATTGTGGTCTTGATCAAAAGATGCAGGACGGAAAATATGAGTACATGCCTTCTATTTTGCAACAGGCAAACTTTATTTTGTTTTAAATCTAAGCCTGATTCTGATATTCTCTTTTGGACCATTGTGCCTACTGACGGGATCTCTGGTCAGAATATTCTGCATGCATTAGTGTAAGTAATAAAGTCCTACCTGTAAAAGCAACAGCAAACAACAATTGCTCACAAAGGATTCCATGCCATTGAGAGGCAGTAGTTTAACCGTTCAGTGGAAACCTGAAGTAGCTTTGAATAAGCTTCTGAATGCAGTGAAGTGGAAGATACCAGGAAAAGCTGGCTGGCTCAAACCAGCTTTCCCACTGACAGGGAGACCTTACCTTGTCATCTGAGTGTCAAACGTCATTCATTCCTCCCAGCCTCTAGTAACTAATTCATGACAATGATTTGCTCCACTTCCTAAGAGTTAAAGGTCAACAGTAATGCAGGAAGACTCATTTTTTTTTTTTACCCATGACTATTTTCCCCTTATGGGAAACGCCATAAAATTCCCCCAAACTGTACACAATGCTAAACCCTACTGAAACTATCCTGACAGATGTCCAAGTTGAATCTAAAGGAAAAAAGTGAAAAAATCAGAACTGGATTGCCTATATCAATAAAGCAAATGTTGCAATTCTATAGAAAATTCTTAGTCTGGTGCAAGGGGTTCTCAGCATCAAGTATCCTGCCTGGCTTACAATACAGAGCTTCTGTCTAACAGAAGGCAAAGAAGGCTGGAAGGTAAAGAGAAAGATGGCTTTTTGGCATGCAGTCCTGGCCATTCAGCTCCTAAATTGGATGCACATTCATCTCAGGATCACCTCATCCTGCTCTCTCTTAGATACCCATTTTTCCATTTCAAGCCCTGTTGTTATGGTTTGCATGTGAAATTTTTCCCAAAGGCCATGTGCTAAAAACTTGGTTGTCAACCTGTGGTGCTATTAGGAGGTGATATGACCTATAGAAAGCAGGGCCTAGTTGGAGGAAGCAGGTTACTGGGAGGATGTCCTTGAAGGAGATATTTTGTCTCTTAGCTCTCTGCTTCCTGGATACCATGAAGTGAGCAGTTTTGCTCCACCATGTGCTCCTCACCATGATATTCTGACTCACCACAAGCCCACCTGTGATGAAGACAAGTGGACTGAAACAGCCAAAATAAATTTTCCCTCTTTTAAGTTGTTTTTCTCAGGTGTTTTGTCACAGTGACAGAAAGCTGACTAACATATCTGTTTTACTCTCTTATTCCCTTGAGAGGATGGTAATCAATTGTTTCATTCTCTGACAACAGTTAACCTCTACTCTGTCTGGGGAAAATACATGGCAATGAATAACTTACACGGCTCTCAGTTTTTATTTAATAAGACAATTTTTATAGCACTTACAGTGTGCTAAGCTTTCTTCCAAGGACCTCATAAGTGATAACAGTTCAAGGACAAGCAAAACTAACCTATGAAGATAGAAGGTACAACAGTGGTTGACCTATAAAAGTGTGAGGGCTGCTGGCAAAGAACACTAGGAACTTCTTTCTGGAGTGATGGAAATATTTTCTATTTTGATTGGGGTGTTGTTTACATGTGTGTATTCATTTGTCAGACTCATCAAATTATACACTTCAGATCTATGCATTTCACTGATCATAAATTTTGCCTTGATTTAAGAGAGAGAAGTGTGACCTCACATGTTACTACAAGGTTCAAAAAGCCATAAGCTCTTATTTTGCTAATGTCCTGCAGAAACAGCCAATGGCAGGTCAACAACCTATAGCCCAATCCAACTGCTGAGGCAAAGCAGAGCCTCTGAAACTGGGAAATCCAATACAGCAGTCCTCTAACTTAGTTCATCCTCATCTCATTCACTCCCTATTGAAGATATCACTTATGGAAGGTTGATAAGGAGGTGCCAGAACTCTCTGGCTCTCAAGATAAGTTTGAATACCCTCCCAGAGTACTCTGCTGTATGATTTGACATAATTAATTCCCAGCTCAGGCCCAGTAAGGAGTGTATCAGGGAATGGTTCTCATGATATTCACCTAATGCTGCTTCTCTTCCTATAGATTATCAACAGAGAAAGGGAGAAGGTAGAACTAAGACATTTAAGTGCATCTAGAGCCTTGTGAGGTTGAATGTGGCAAACTTCTAGTTATCCTGCAAATCCATAGTAGCCAAGTTTGGCTGGGTATATGACTACCTTGCTATAAACTACCCTTACCAGCTTCCCCTGTAATTAAATGGAGTCATATGACTGAGTGCTCACCAATGGAATGTGATAGAAGTGGCATGTGTAAATTCTACTTGCTTTAAAGGAAATGACTTGCCCTGGGTTTCCTCTCCTACCTATGGAATGGAGTCGGGGTGGAACACTGAGTGGCAGTAACTTAGCTTCAACTATGCAGATAAGACCAACATTCTAGGGGATGAAAAGAGCTACAGTAGTTGGATGCTAAGTGCTTCAACAACTCCTGAAGCAGGGCTGGGTGCTAGGCTGGTTCACTCTAGCCTGCCATGTGAAAGGGAAATTTCAATCTAATTTAAATTACTGAATTTGTGGCTTTTTTGTTATATAATCTTAGCTAATACCTTACCGGTGAAGTTTCTGAGGCTTATGATCTCCAGGCATGAATTTCCAAGTTTCACACTCTGCTTAGCCCAGAAGTTTGAATTCCCAAGTTCTTTCTCCTTACATACAACATCAATCCGGTCACTTAAACTAGTCATCCACAGTCTACAAGATAATATTCACGCATGCAAAGTCCTCTCAAGATGTGGTCCCATCCTCCATCCATGGTCTCAGCTTCATCACCTGCATTTGCCACACTGCATCTTGTGTTCTAGTTTCAATGGATGTTCCCTGAAAGCACCTTGTGTATGAAGAACTCTATGCTCATATTCTGGTCTGGCCAAATGGAATAATGTTTTCACCATCCCCATGAATAAGCTTCTCTAAAACCCCCAAGTAGAATGGTTCCCTCCCTCTACTATACTTCCTTATCACTTTGGACAAACTTTCATTAAACAATGTACCACCTGGAGCTATTAGGATTTTTTTACATGTCTGATCTCACAGCTAGAATACATGTTCCAAAGACTAAGTCCCTGAAGGAAGATTGTGCCTTGTCTATCTCCGTGACCTTGGCATTTAGCACATGACCTGGCTTATACTTGAATGTTAAACAAAAGAAGGAAGCAGAATTCAATAGGTAGCATGTTTCAAAACCCTACACAGCCAGGCATGGTAGCATACTCCTATAATCCCAGTGGCTCAAGAGGCTGAGGCAGGAGAATTCCAAGTTCAAAGTCAGCCTCAGCAACTTAGCATAGGCCCTAAGCAATTCAGTGAGACCCTGTCTGTAAATAAAATACAAAAAAGGGCTGGGATGTGGCTCAGTAGTTAAGTGCCCTGGGTTCAATCACTGGTATGGGGGGGGGACCCTACACATACATTATCATTCTTACCGATTCATTGCAAATGCATAGTGGAATTTAATGTTATGCTGATCAGCCAAATCACATGTAGGCAGCATCTCCAGAGTTTCTACCAGCTTGACCATCGCATCATAGTCCTGTTGGCGAGAGATCTCAAGGTGAAAAAGAGAAGAAATACAGGTCTTTGTAGATTTTTCTGAATAGTTATAAACATAAGCCAGTCTCCAGGTTTTAAGACAAACCTTTCCTTGCATAGAGTGTTTAGTGAAGTTACTTGTAACCTTCACTAGAACAACAAAAAAAAAAAAAAAAACAGAAAATAAGATAAATGAGAGAGAGGGCAGAAAAGAAATTCCTGTTACCAAAGAGGACAAAGGGATTGAGGAAAACTGTTAAATCCAAAGGCAGGAAAAAAAAGTGAGCCTAGCAACCAGGAAATGGCTACTATGTTTTCAGTGGAAAAGGATTAAAACCACCCAGAAAAGCTATTTTAAAATGAGCTAGACATACACATAAGAAAATCTACAGTTAACTTCCCATGTAAAGGGAAAAAATATCTTAGCCCTTCTTGTTTTATCATAATCAGTCAAATTAATCTAAACCAGAATATTCTTTATTGTGGGATGTTGACTTGTGCACTATAGGAAAGGCAGTAGCATTTCTGGCCTCTACTCATTAGAAGCTAGCAAAACATACATACATACATACATACACACACACACACACACACACACACACACACACACACACACAGAGTTTTGACAACTAAAATGTGTTTAGATGCTATCAGATGCTTCCTGGTTGAGAACCACTGGTCTAAATGCTACATAATCATCTAGGGAAAAATTGCTACCATGTGTGTCTCAGTTGGGTCCCCTCTTAGCAGCACTACCAGTTAACATTTTAGCCAGGCTTACAATCATTGGTATTAGCCAACTTGCTGCCAGCTATGGTTGAAGAGGAGGGTTTCCTACTAAAATCCCAAACCTGCTCTCTCTTACTGGCCTAGGAAAGAGAAGACAGTAGTGGATTCCATAGATCTCTTGGCTCACATTTGAGCCCAAGAGGCCCATCAATGAAAGGTTAAGAAATGAAAGGATACAAAAATAAAAAGAAAGAAAGAAAGTGATAATACCTGAAGGCAAGGGCAGAAGGAAACCAGAAGCCAGGAACTCAAGGGAAGAAAACCTTCAAGAAAGGTTAATCCTTGGCCATGGTGCATGCTTTAATCATTATCACAATCCCTAATGGCACCTGCTACTAAAATCAGTTAGTTGCATCTGCTCATCACTAGGGGTATGAGTTCCTTAGCAGTTGACTCTTCTTGGTCCAAGGCATAAATGGATATCTCCATTATTTAGATTTAAAGAAACATGGCCAACAACTTCCAATGTAGCTTTATAGGAGTCTATAAGTATTGTACATTACCCCGTGTGCCACAGGAAAGGGAGGCAGACTCCCTTAGGAATGTCTCAAAGGCATTAAATTCAGAAGAGGAAATGCTGATTTTCCTCCATGGTACCACATCCCACAAGCCCCATCTTGAGAACTCTCCAATAGCTTCTGAGGCCTGTTTTAGACTAAATATTTTAAAAATGAGGAAAATGAGGCACAGAGAAATTAAATAACTTGCCCAAAGTCACACAGCTTTTAGTGAAGTCAGGATTTAGACTGAGGCTGACTGACTCCATTGTCCTTCTTATCTTCTCTGCTCTACTATGTCCTTTAGGCCTTTGTTACTTTTCTTATTTACCACCACTCATCCAAAGGCAGAAAAAATTAAGCCTAGCAACCAGGAAATTGCTACTGTGTTTTCAGAGAATCTATATTTCAGAGAATATAGATATTTAGTCTAAAACAGACCTCAGAAGCTACTGAAGAGTTGAGACAGGACTTGTGGGATGTGGTACCATGGGCTAGGGATGTGGCTCAGTGGTTAAGTGCCCCTGAGTTTAATCCCCAGTATCCCCCCTCCAAAAAATGGAGATCAACAAAATAAACCTACACCACAGGTTTGTTAAGAATAGTGAATTAATTTAGGATTAGCAAAAGGCTTGGAACTATGCATAGCATAAAGTGTATATAAACTGTTAAATTATTAATTACTTATACTAAGCAGTGCCATATATGTGGTCTCTTGTTGGAGCATTCACACCAGCCCTAATATGAAAAACCCCTCTCTAAAACTCTCACCCTGATGGATAAGCTGGATGACCTCTGACCTGGTCACAGATCCATTTATATAAAATAGCTACTTCACCATACACCTAGTAAAATAATACACCTAGTGAGAATACACTCACATGAGGAGTTCCTCATGACAAGAGAAATTTTGCTATATGCTAGCCTCAGTTAGGCACATTTCATACCTGGATATCACGGTAGGACAGGAGTAAATTAATGATGATGTCTGATGTCAGAACTTCAATATTATCCATGCGGAGTTTGATCCGAGCCAGCTCCTTTGCCAGTTCATCACCCTGGTATTTCTCTCTGGCTTTCCGGATGTCATTCAACAAGGTTTCTTTGTAATAAACACTAGACAGGGGAACAGGAAAACCTCCAGTCATATAGATATGACTATGTGCATCCAGGACCCTCCTCCTTGGCACTCAAACAAATATGGTTCTTATTTATGTGACTGAGGCTAACACATGGAGACCTTGGCCCAGACCCGAGCCTCCTCATGCAGCAAACTAAAGACACTTCAACTTGTTATTCATATTTTGCCAAAATGAGCCAGTAATGTTAACAAATAAAAACCAGCTCATTACAACCTTAAAAATATCTTCAAAGCTGAAATATTCAAACAATATACAGAACTTTCTATACAGCTCAATCTATTTCCTCTGGTATTTTGAACCACATAGAAGGCAAGATGGTACCTTACTTGAATATTTATTTTTCCCTACCAGCAACAGATAATCACAAAGCCAAACAAAACTCCCAGAGCTATGAAATACACAGAAATTCATTTTAAAAATATTCTCATTTATTAAGTGTCCCCAGTTAGTAGTCATGAAGGTTTCACCAGTTGAAGAAGAGCTGGAAACTGGTGTCATGTCCCCAAGCAATCCAAAGGGGGTACACAGAAGCCATGCTAGGAAGCTTACAGAAAACGTTGCCTTTCACCCCCCCACACTTCCCTGTCTTATTTGACTGCAATAATGTAAAATATAAAAATCTAATGTAAAATATAAAAATCTCTTTTATGAGGGTGTCTAGATAATAATGTGGATATGTAAGAACATTTAAAACAGTTTAAATCCATACTTAATGTGCCCATAGCCTCTTACAGAGTCAATGCTAGTATCTGATACTTGGAATAAAACCTTGAAAAACAACCTAATTTGGTGTACAGAGGCCAACTTACAATGACCACAGATTGATTTAAATATTTTGCCTATTTTCCAATTAATTTTTAAACAGAGAATGAGCACTGCCAAGCAGTAATGCTGCCAACCCATTAAGAAGCTGAAATGATTTAATTATAGAGAGAAAAATTAAGCTGTTTCTTTTAAAAGACAGTAGGATAAATCATCTTTCCTAGAGAAACAACACAAGATAGAATAAGAACAAATCATACTTATTTTGAATAATTATAAAACTATACCATAAAAATGTGCATACATTACACAGCCTGGTCCAATGCTTATAATAAGACCTCAATTAACATTTAAAGAATGAAGTGATATCCCACAGAAAGGGTTTTGATGTAAAAATATTAGTGCAATGCTTTCATTTTTATTTCCTTATTTGCCAACTGCTATTACCCCAATGATGAGCAAATCAGCAAACTCTGCCAGTGTTTAAAATTCTGTCATTAATTGAATGAGTCATTAAACTGGGTGACAGCCACTGCCCATTTGGTAGACTATAAAGGCATGAAAGCTATTAAAGTGTTATTAGTTTGGCCTGATGGTAAAAAGTTATACTTCAGTCTTGTTTTCAAGGGTAATTCTGAAAAATAGTTTTAATAAATGAAGAAATCTAATAAGAACAGTAACTTTTTAGGTAAATAAAACACTGACTTGATTATGGTTTGGGGACTCCAGATATGTAATAATCATGCAGCCATTTCTGCCTCTGGCAACCAGGGAAGATGTTGCTAATCAATATGAACTTGGAAATGGCTTCAAAGCCCTTTATAGCACAGGACTCAAGATACTTTATAAATCTATCAGAATTGGCTCATGAGCTTAAAACTTACCTGCCATCCTGATTACAGATGTTTGCAATCACAAGTAGCATTTACTGTCTCATTATTGTCAAGACCCCAGCCAACTGTGGGGTGGAATCCACTAATAGGCATTTCAAGCCCTTGGAAATTAAAACAAATCAAAAAACTTCTTTTCCTTCCAATACGTACATACACCGAATGAGAAACAAACTTGAACCCATTTCTTGCAAAGATATGACTCATCTGGAAGATTCAAGTTAGCTGACCTCCTTGTCAGACCTGAAAATATGATATTGGGAGAACTTTCTCCCTAAACATCACTAAAATGTTTGTTTTGCAATTAGACAAAAGTTAGCAAAGTAAAACTGAATGAGGTTTGCTAGGACTGTGTCACAAAAAGTTTGCCATTTGCTTTCTGTGTTGGCATATGGTCACATATGTCTAGGTTTCCAGTCTTCTTCCCCACTAAGGTCTCTAAAAGAAAGTCTGTATCCAGAAAAGAGGCAATGGCATAGAAAAGGAGAACAAAGTATGAACTTCATGCCAATTTCAGTAGTAACCCTCCATGGTTCAAGGTGCCATGATTTGGGCCAAAACATGACATGAGGTCCTTGACATTTCATTATAAGCCAGTTCTGCCAGTCCTTTGGATTTTCATTTGTTTTGGAAGTACAAATCCCCCTCCTTGTGACACAACTTACAGGAATAAATCCTTTAAATTGGCTTCAAGCAAAACAACTGGATTGCTTGATTAAGAATAATTTTTTTGCCTTTAATTTTTAGAGTAAGAACACTGAAGGTACAGTTTCTTGAGCACTGAGACTCAAAGAAGGGAACTGACCTTTCCCAGGCTACAGAGCTAGGAATCACCTTACCAGGACTTACATTCAAACCTTTCTACCTGAGTGAGTAGTGCATACTACCTCTGATATAAATCTCAAAGAGAACATGTCACAGTACATCTCCTGAAGTCAGGAAAATATGTAGGTTCTCAAGAATATGAGAACTCAAGGTCAGAATGACCTTGCTGGGGCATTTTAAGAACCCCCATAACTAAGGGAATGTAAAATCATGCTCAGAAATGATCATGAAACAGAATCTCCAAGTTGAAATAGATGGTTAAAAAAAAAAAAAAATCACTGATTTAACTTCCCTGTTTCCTAGAGGAGAAAACAGCCACAGAGAAGGTATATGTCAAGGTCACACAGGGAGTCAGGAGCAGACACAGGCCCAATTCTGACCTCCTAATTCCAGTTCTATTCTCTTTTGGCTTTACCTCAGTGACTCAGATTAGTGAGGCTGGATTCCAGGATGATTTTTAAATGATTGACCAATGCTCCTTATTCTCTGGGCATACTGGTAATTTCAAGGTGTACCACCTCTCTGAAAGGAAAGGGAAATTTTTACAAGGCTCCCAGGGCTGTTGGTGGATGGTAAGAATTACCATGAGGTCACATGGATGTCCTTGAGGAGGCTAATGAACCTGTCCACCAGGGGCATGCACAGCGGGCCCAGAATGGTATCCCAGTTGGGCTGCATGTACTCCGAGGCTCGCCTCTGGGCGTCACTCTCACAGCAAAAATAATCAGCGCATGGTGTCACAATGTAGGGGATGAAATAATAATTTCCACTAGATGCCTGGAAAAAAAAAGAAACAAAAATGATCCAGAAAGTACTTGTTGCAGAAGCACAGCTGTGACTTTGAGCAGGTAGGACCTGGTGGGATATGAAGAAAAAGATATTTCAATATGAACAACAAATTATGCAATATCACTACAAGTCTATTAGGCATAAAAAAGGAAACCTCTCAATTTCAAAAGCTCTATCATTTAAAAAATAGGACAGAAATTTGGTTTCAAATGCTGAGCTGACCTATAAATGTCTATGAATTTCACTGGCAGAAATGTTAAGAGTCAGAAGTCTAAAAAAAAAAAAAAAAAAAAAAAATCAATTGATTCATTTTATGGCCCTCAAACCAGAAGGACTTGAACCCAGTGAGAACCAAGGATTACAATATGGCATATCATTTTTCTTTCAACATATATGAAAATGTATTATTTGATAATTTGATAATTTCATACAGGTGAAATATAAACTTTGTTTAATAAAAATTTAGGTGAAGCATATATTTTTTAAAAATTGTTAATTTATATGTGGTGCTGAGAATCAAACCCAATGCCTCACATATGCCAGCCAAGTGCTCTACCACTGAGACCACAACCCCAGCCCCAGGGAAGCATATATAACTATGATTAGTCTTAGAGATCTTTTGAAAAGATCCACTGAAATTTTTTTTATAAAAAATTCAAATTACCTTTAATAGTAGGTAAAACAGTATACTTTTTTCTATGGAATAATTATAGTTTGACTAAAAATCATAATTCTTTAAAAGCATAAACATCTTTAAATAGCATTATATCTATGCTCAATTTTTTAGCACATTTGAAGGTTGAAATATAATTCTCTAACAACACTCTTATATCATCATCAATCTTTTGCCTATACTATCATAAAATGCAACTAAGTTAAAATTTCAGACTTTTAAGTCCCTGTATTTCTACATGAAGAATTTATATGATGCCAGAAATAGTTCAGTTTAACAAATGTAAGAAGTCAGATGAATTAACGGAGGTATCTAGGTGGTTTTGACATAATATAGACAGATATATTTTTTCCTTTTCCAAGAATGGGACATAGATCTAAGAACTAAATTTTCTTCTAAATTAAAAACAAATTCATTAGCTACACAGAAAACTGTCTGAATATCATGATCTCAGATCAAACAGCCCACTTACAGTATGGAGGAATTAGTTTCAATGACATGAAATGTATATTTAAGAAATTTTACTTTTGAATAAGATCTGCTTAGAGGAAGACATTTCTATCCTAATTTAAGACATAAATAATTGTATTGAAACCTCTCTCTTTTGGATGTTAGTGGGCTTCTACAGCCCTGTTATGACACATTTTGAATCCTAAAATATTTTGTTAAAAGAAATTACTGGTATTATTCCACTAAAACACATTTTTAGACCAGGTCAGCTAACTTCCTGTAAGGGCCAGATGATCAATATTTTGGCCTTTCATATCTCAGTGTCTTTTGCAACTCTTCCTCTCTGCTGTTGTAGCACAAAAGCAGACTCAGACCATACACAAATACACAAGCGAGGCCATGTGTCCACAAAACTTTATATATATGGACACAAATTCAAACTTCACATCTTTACATGTCCTGAAATAATCTTCTTTTTTCATATTTCCCAACCATTTAAAAGGGTAAAAAAAATAAAAATGAAAAAGTAAAAAATCTATTCTTAGCTCCCAACCCATACAAAAACAGGTGATGGATCAACATTTTAGACTAAACTTTCTTGTATTGCATTATCCCTGAAAAGAGGGTTTTCTGAGAGTATTGAACCTGCTGCAAAGCAGCAGCTGGTGACCATCCCTGTGGGTACCAGCTATTGGCATTAACCCCCTCAAAATACAAATGCCAGTGTTATAAATAGACGGCTCAAGAATTAAGGTGTGTGGGGGTGATCGCTGAGGAAGGTGGCTCAGATCTACTTCTTCATCAGCAGGAACTGCCTGTACCAAAAGAACAAAGACCCTTCCCCTCCCTGCAACACTTTTGAATTCTCAAAGAGACTCAAACTAGCCAGCAAACTAGTAGGTTTTGGTAGGTTAGAGAAGTTTCTCCCTCATCCATGCCAGGAAAACCATGTTGCTAAATTAAATGCCATTTATAAATTCAGAAGTGAAAATATTTTTCTTCTATCTGAAATTGGTTAAGTTCATGGTAAAAGCCCTCCTATTTCAGATTGAGAGGGAGGAAAGAAAGGGTGTGTGGATCAGTGAGGTATAGAAGGTAAAATACCTTTGAAGAAACAATCCTAATTAAGCTGGGCTGGAGGTGTGAAAAGCTTCTCAAATTCTATCCCCAGAAAAAAACCATAACTAGTAAAAATTCTTTTTAATAAAGACATTTAAAAATGTAAAGTCTCAGCCGGGTGCGGTGGCACACAGCTCGGGAGGCTGAGGCATGAGGATGGCAAGTTCAAAGACAGTCTCAGCAAAAACGGAGGCACTAAGCAACTCAGTGAGACCCTGTCTCTAAATTAAATACAAAATAGTGTATAGTGGTTGAGCTTAATCCCTGGTACCCCCTCCAAAAGATTAAGGCTGAAAAAGTGAAGATCAAACAAAGACATGTCCAGATAAACAAAATCTGAGATAAATTTATGCTAGTAGACCCATCTTACAAAAATACTAAAGGAAGTTCTTTAGAATGGAAGAAATTGAGAGTAGACAAAAAATTCTAATAAAAGTAGTTATGTAGGCAATTATAAAATGCAGTATGATCATAAATTTCTTTTCCTTTCTTCTCTTAACCAACTTAAAAAATAAATGTAGAAAAGGATGTATATAATCCATATTTTGGGGTTTATAACATATAGAGAGATGTAAGCTATTTGACAATAATAATAAAAAGCATAGCACACAAGTGGGAATAAAATTGCTTTGGAATAAGGAAATGACACCAAATGGTAATTCAAATCCACAAGAACAAATGAAAAGGACAAAAAAATGGTAAATAAAAAATAGATACCACACATATACTCTTACTCTCCTTCTCTCTCCCTCTCCTAATTCTCTTTCCTTTTCTTAGTTTCATTAAAATACATAATTGTGGGGCTGGAGTTGTGGCTCAATGGTAGAGCGCTTGCATAGCACATGTGAGGCCCTAGGTTCAATTCTCAGCACCACATAAAATAAATAAATAAAATAAAGATTTTTTGTGGTGGTGGGGGGCCTGGGGTTGTGGCTCAGTGGTAGAGCTCGCCTAACATGCGCAGGGCCCTGGGTTCGATCCTCAGCACCACATAAAAATAAATGAATGGAATGGAGGTGTTGTGTCCAACTACAAATAAAAATATATATATTTTTTTAAAGATATTTTTTTTTAAAAAAGACATAATTGTGGGCTGGGGATATAGCTCAGTTGACAAGAGTGTTTGCCTCACAAGCACAAGGCCCTGGGTTCAATCCCCAGCACCACACACACACACAAAAGAATTATAACAAAAGTATTCATAAACATTACAAATAAATAATCATAAGCCTCTGTATGGTAGATAGGTAAATTGAAGGTGAATGATCAAATCTATTTGTAAAGAATTATTATATCTTCAACTGTTTCCAAAACAAATGTTTCTACTGAAATCTTGTTTACATTATTCCTTTAGCAAATCTAGTCTTCCCAAACAGCACAAGAATAAACTTTGCCCCAGTCCTGCTCAAACCCTAAATAATGAGGTGTGAAAAATAGGATTTTGACAGCTATAAGATATGTGCTGTGACAAGTTGTTGTTCAAGGAGGCAGAGCAGCAGCAGCAGAGACCCTGCAGTTAGGATAGGAGGTGATCTTTGGAGCCAATTTTTAGCCATAGATAGAGAAAAATGAGAAGAAAGAGAGGAAATGCATGGACTCTGAAACCAGCTGAGAGTTTAATAAACAGGACTGAGGAGACAGCAGGAATCTAGAGACTTGGGAAGGTAAAAATACTTCCTTTGAAAAAATCTTTCAGAAACTGTATTAAAGTTTAAGAAATCTGACAGAAAGAAATTGGAACTAATGACTACATTTTAAAAAGCAATTCATAAACTTCCAAATGAAAGCACAGGCTTTTGAGTGCAAGTACTTTTATTCTTAAAAAGAGGAAGAATGGGCCCAAACATCTCCAAATGATGGACCACATTCAAACTTTTGTTGGTGGAGAGACCAGAAACTTAAAAGAAAAACAATGATTAACATAATACATGTTCAATAGTGAACGAGGATCAGCTATTTTTAATTGTTACATTTTTAAATGAAAACATCTCAAGAATCCAGCTCATTAAAACAAATTTAACAAAGGCAGCTTAGTTTCCTACATAAAGAAGCATTAGAACCAGTGTTCTAGCCACATTAATATGTAAACTCTTATTCTAAACACTCTCCAAATATTTCTAAAAGGATGATTCTCATATAGTAAGTGAGGTCAGAGAGCAGAGTAAAAACCACTGATCTCTGACACTGTGGGGGTAGAAAGTGGAAGATACTGTAAAGTTTTGAGTTCCTAATCTAGCAATTGCAATTTTCCAGAACTAATACCATCTATAAATATCACTACCATGAACAAACCATCCTATATCATCACTAAAAAAAAGCTTAATTACATAGTCTTAAATGTTATGATATTAACTATATACACTTAACCATTCTCCTATTGCTTTACTTTCAGTTTGATTTGAAATTTTCCTTCTAAGTACCACTAAGATGAACATCTTTGCATATAGCATCTTTGTACCATGGTGTTTTCCTAAAGATAGCTTCCCAGGAGTGAAATTACTAAAACAAGTATAAAGTTCTTGATGTGTGTGGCTTAGGTGTCATAAAAGATGAAGCAATTTATTTACACTCCCACCAGCAGAGTATGAAGACATGCCAATTTCATCACCCTCCAAACAGAACTGAGCAGTGTTTTGTTTTTTCACATATGTTAGATTAGGTGAACAAGAAAGACCCTATTAGCATTGAAATAAGAAGTCAGTCTCATCCCAACTCAAAGGATTCAGGGGGCCAAGGATTAAATCCT